AGCAAAGGGGGTAGTCCAGCAAGCAGCTTTCTGACATTATTTAGGGGGGGCCCCTAGAATAATGTCTAGAGATTTGAGGCTTTAAATCTTTATTCCTGTTCTTTGCCTTTTGATTTGCTTTACTTACCATTGAAATTGCAGGTCTTTGGATTGAGATTTGCATTGAAATTTAAACAGTTAGTTCTATTTCCATTGATTCATTCCCTTTTATTGTAATTAATATTCCAGATGTCTTCAAAGTTAGGAATTCTTATTTCCTTTTAAATTAATATTGCCAGAGGTCTTCAAAGTTAGGAATTCTTATGTCCTTTTAATTTAATATTGCCAGAGGTCTTCAAAGTTAGGAATTCTTATTTCCTTTTAATTTAATATTGCCAGAGTAGCTCCAGAGGTAGCTAGCTAAGGATTCCTTATTTAATTATCAACTGATTGATTTTCTTATACATTATTTTAGAGGCCTTGGTTGTTGAGGGAGGGGGGGGGGAGTTTATAAATCAAGAGTCAACATTAGTAGGAGGACGAAGACCTTGAAGCCTTGAATACACATGGAGTAGGAGGAACGCCTTGAACACACCCAAACATGCCCAAACAATGCTTCAAATCTTCCCCTACCCTCGGCATGACCATGACCCTCCCCCATCGTCCCGACTCTCAGAGTCCCAGGCCGACGATAATGTCGACGGGTCCACTCTCCTGGAAGGGACATGTCGGGAGATCCTGGAAGGGACATGTGTAGGGGTAGTCTCTTGGATATCCAAACAGGGTGATCCAGGTGGTTGAAAAGAATTGAAAAGGCAACAAGGTGCCCACTGTGCCACTGTGTTCCACTCAGGGTATGCGCCTGAAAATGGTCCCTGGGACTGTTTTTGCATCTAAGAAAACAACAAGGTATAGGCTAGGTCCATGAACCTCCTATTTTCAGGCCCTTCCTTCTCCTTGCCCTCTTCTCGCAGCCCCCCCGTTTACTCCGAGACCCCTCGACCCCTCGGCCATGAATCCTCCCTCCCCGCGACGGTATCGTTAGCAACCAAAATTCTGCGAGGGAGTTCCTCCTCTGGGAGCCCTTCGAAGCTTTAAGTCCAGGACCTCCTCACCAGTTTTTTATCACGCGCCGTGTCCAGAGGTTCGGTGCGAGTGCCGAAAAAAGCATGCACGGGAGACATGCAGATCGGAGTGAACACATGGGGAAAACACCTAAGGCATGGTCCTTTTCCTTTGTTGCTACCTCGAAGTCCAACAGCTAACAAACAATACCCCCTGGTGCCACTGGAAATTTTCAGAACGGCCCAGCGATCTCCACCGGTTTTTAGGGGCCTTGATGTGACGAAGGACGCGGTCCACGCCAGCCTCAACCTGACAACGGCCACATGAAGAAAAAAGAATTGTCACCAACCTCATAGCAAAAGGAACATCATAGCGATGGCCCCCATCCTACTAGCGATGGCCTCCAACCTATACAGGCCTCCATCCTACTAGAGCGATGGCCTCCACCCTAAAATAGCGATGGCCTCAATCCTGCTAGCGATGGCATTTTACTTGCCGGAGGAAACCCCACCTAGCGCAGATGGCGGGGAAGGGGCTGTATCTCAGTCTGGTGTCTACGGATCAACTCTAACTCGAAAGCGAAGTCGTATGCTCAATCAACGGCTTTGGCACGAAGCTTTGCTTTTCGGTTACCCTCTAATCTGTGGCGCGATTGATGGCATTGAAGCACTTAATCAGGTCAAACGTAACTCCAGCACATGGTTCACCAGTATGACGAGCACACTCAAAGTACCACTGAGCTGCTGCATAGGCGGCTTCAAAGGCCCCCCAACCAGGCAACAAGGCCGTTACATCAACAGACATGGTTCGGCCGAACGACTGCAGAACCTGCGAGCTCACACCCTATAGATTGTGCAGATCGTTTGAGCTCACACCGGGCGGATCCTATGGCCCTGTCCTTGAGGTGCAGCATCAACCTTGGAATGAATCAATCAGGAAACCCTTCACCATATAAATGAGCTACCGAAGTGAGCTCCAGAAGCGAATCGCAGCGAGTCGCAGGCGTTCACGCCCTCAGAACCGGTTTGCCATTCCGAGGTTCGCAATGGCGCTTCCAAAGTGCCACGTCACGAGTATCAGTTTGCATCTGAGCAGTGGGAAGCAAGGACAGGTAGTCCTGAAAAGCCAAATCCTGTTCT